CGGCCATCGGGCTGCTGCCCCAGCAGCCGCCCTGCGCCGCCGAGTCCGACGGGGAAGGGCCGCCCCGCGTGGACTTTGTGGACAACACCATCAAGAGCCTTGATGAGAAGCTGCGCAATTTGCTTTACCAGGAATACGTTCCCACTTCTTCTGCGTCGGCAGGGACTCCGGAGAGTTTCGTCCCTTTGGAACAGGGGGACAGCGAGTTTAACTTGCCGCCTCTTGCTGAAGATCAAATTCCCACGCTGGTATTGGGTCTAAGAGAACCAGCCCACAAAGCTGCAGACACCTGCCCGGAAGCGAACGCTGCCGAGAGCCAACTCGTGTCGCTTGTGCCGTCGACGATCTCGCCTTGCCCCGCACTGGTTAGTGCTGCCGCAGGGCTGCCCTTCACACCCCGCGCAGCAGCCCATGGGGAGGGCACCAGGGCAGAGCCGAGGGGCAGGGGGGCTGTGGTAGGACATGTGCAGGCTGCTTGCATCCCTAAATAGTCCCCTTTTCTGCTCCCTGCTGTTTATTATCTTTTCTCTGTTGCTTTCAAGCATGAAAGTTTCCCTAATTCTTACCTTGCTAGGTGCCTCCTTACTCTCTTTACATAAACACTTACTTGTGAAAGCTGAATTTTGCCTTTGAGTTTAAAAGTGCTATGACTTTTTGATTCGTTCTCCTTCTGCTTACAAAGAAGGCAGTGACTTTTTTTTTTAGTTTAGTGATTTATAAGGAAGAGGTGAAGGAGAATCTAGGAGGCAAACTCCACACACACTGTTAGGAGTTTCATATCCCTCGTAGTGTGATTGCAGGGACTGAGGCTGCTTTGTGCATGCGAGACTGACACTCATTTTCTTATTTCCTTTTCCTGAAAGCTGGAGAAGTCTGGAGTCGCTGGCACCATTGCTGATTCCTCAGAAGCAAGAGGTGGGTCAGCAAGCAGAAAAGGTAACGCTGGTTTCGGTGATTAACTGTAACGATGCGTCTGCACCAGTGCCTGCTGCTCTTCTGCTCTGCCCCCTTTCTGCTCACCCTTCTGGTTAGCTGCAGACCAGTGCTCAGCACAGTGCCTTGGTGAATCTGTTGTAACAAATATTAAATCTCTCACTTTTGTCCAGCTTACCAGCAGTAAACTACCTCACAGGCAGATGTATTTTAAACCATGAAGAAGTAATATGTGAAAATGAAGGGGAGCCCTTTTCGTTTGGTGGTTGTAGATCCAATGGCTCTTTTCCACACTAAGGTAGTTGGAGCTGTTATAAGAAGCGCTGTAGGATGGACGATAATTAGCCCTCATTAACCTGTTGTGCAAGTCATGGAGGTTTTAAGGGTTGAGGAACCTGCAACTCCCTGCTGCTGCTGTCACGTGGGAGGTTATCATTCCTCTAGGATGTCACTCCTTTAGGAGGTTTCACCAGGTTTCACCAGGTTTCCATGATGATGCAGGCGGTCCTGGAGCGCCTCAAGCGCTTGTGTCCCAGAAGCCAGGAGCGACCTCGGCCTTTGCTGCCCCGCTTTGCAGGGCTGCTCCGCTCCAAGGCTCCCTCGTCAAGGGCCTGTGATGTGGGAAAAGCCGCCTTTCCTGCAGCCCTTTGCCTGACGTTATTCGCAGTAGTCAGGGCAGCCTGCAGAATCTGACTGGCCTTGCAGGGTTGAGGATAATTCTCTGCCTCCCTCAAACTGCACAAAATACAATTTCTGCAGGATAAGTAACGGGCTTTAAGTGATGTGAATTGTCAAAAGGCCATTTGTGTCTTTGGAGTCCTCTGCTTTTAAGCCAATACAAGATGAAAGCTCTGCCTGGGTTTTTCACATTTGTGTGTCTCACTAAAATGAGAAAATACGTAAGTAGAATGTAGCACTGCGTATTAAAATGAATGTAGCTTAGATACCATAAAGCAGTTGACATATTTCACCATTCCAGAACTATGAGGTGGCAGATTTTTGCCTTATGTTCACTCCATGTAAGGTGCCATAAGAAAACAGCTTTCTGAAAAGGATTTGCATGCATTTGTTTGACTTTATTTTAAAAAAAAATCCAATTTATTAAGTAATATCTTCTTGAACTTTGGCAGAACCATTTTACCTTTCCTGTGCGTTTGTGGTTCAAGTGTTCATCTTTTGAGCTGGTAATATCCACTTTTAGCTGTGCAGTGTTTATTATATCATAGTTGGCATGGGAATATGTCAAATGAAAGGCATGAAATAGGCTGTTCATGGTCAGCTGCAGCACTTTGTGTGCATGGATATCATAGTGCAATTTTTTCCAGACATCAAGAAGAGCTTAGTGATGAGAACCCAATATACCATGCAGATGTACCTTAGTGATACATCTAATCTACTTCATTCTACTTCTGTTTTTCTCACTAAGATTTTTCAATCTGCTAATGATATTTCACTCCCCAACTATTATTTGGATTGCATAGATCAATAGAATGAATAGACTGAACAGAGTGCCTTCTTGTGGATGCTTTGTGTTATCATTATTGCCTACTGCCTTAAAAAAAAAAAAAAAAAAAAAAAGTTTACTAAATCCGCTATTACAGCAACTTGATATTTAAATAATTGTTCGGTGCTGCACTTTATTGTGCTATGGTGTACCAGTATAAAGACACTGCCTTTTTTCCACATGTGTGTGTTTTTTTTTTTTTTTTCCAAATGATAAAACAGGTTCATCTGCAAGCATCATATCAGCTCCTGCTGCTACAGCAAAAGGTCTCCTTCAGGTAACCAGAAACTACAAAGTTTATTATTATTATTGTTATTTAGTTGTGATAGTTGCTATCAAAATTAATCTCCATTATTCTCTGCAGATTGCAGCTACATCGTCAAGTGTAGCCAAGCAGATGGAAACTCCTAAAAGGAAGGAGAAGGCAAAGACCACAACTTCATCTGCGCACACAGATAATTTAATGCAGATATCTACAGCAGATGGGATGATAAATAACCTTCAAAGGGATGACTCCCTAGACTCTGGTTCCTATGGAAAACAGGCTGAAACTCATGGCAGCAGTACCCCCGCCAAAACTATTGGCAGGTTTTCAGTAATCAGCACGCAAGATGAGTTAACTTTAGCGTCGCCGCAGTGCTTAAGGTTCTCGGCGCCCCCGGACGTCTACCTGGACGCGCTGCCCTCGAGCCCGGAGCTGAAGGCGGCCGTGCGCCGCGTGCAGACGGCCTCCTCCGTGGACGTGCTCTGCGAGCCGGGCTCGAGCGACTCTGCCGACGAGGCTCTCCGCAGGCAGCCTGCTGCTGCCCAGCCATCCCCGCCGAGCGGGAGCGCGGCCACCGACTTGATTAAAAAAGCAGCTGCTTTTCTGCAAAGATCTGGGAAACCTCCTTCACAAGGCCTCGATTCGCCTAATGGTCAGGGAGCAAAAATTCCTACCATCAACATAACATCTTTCCACTCGCAGTCGTCATACATGAGCAGTGACAATGATTCGGAATTTGAAGATGCAGATATGAAGAAGGAATTGCAGAATCTAAGAGAAAAGTATGTCAGTTTTGTGGACAGTGCTAGGGTAGCTTCTGTTAAGATACCTACGCAGCATCTTTGCATGCGCTAAGAGAATGTGTGTGTTAATAGCAGTACTGAGTAAATAGGTGCCAGTACCTTCCCCCAAATGGCGCACTGCATTATCTTATGCATTATTTTATTACTTGATTCCTTTTATAAGTAGAATCAAAATAACTTTTTTCTTTTTAACCAATTTAGTTGCACTCTCCTATTTGGTTTCCTTACTGAAAAGTATGTTGATTGAGAGCAAGCCTTAACAGCAAGCCTTGTTATATGTTCATATATAGTATTAGCTTCCAATCTGGATGCTATTTAGGTCTGCATAAAAATAATCTGGATGTTTATATGTGCGGAGAGAGCTGTTCTAGTGTCCTTTCTTGTCCTTCCCTACAAGAGTGCTTTAGCCTGTCAGATCTACACACCCGTGTCTATCCCTGCAGTTGCTTCTAAGTTGGTGCTGGCTTTGCTGGTGCTGGATTAACCCCCTCCCTTGACCTCCCACCCGCCCCAGGTGCTGCCCCGTCTCCTCTGCCCAGCTCCTCAGAGCCAGGGTTTGCACGTCTGGAGAGTTCCTCTCTTCCTTGCACATGACGAGTAGAAACTAGCAATAGGCTGCAGTCTTACCAGAATGTCAAACTTAAATTTAGGTAATGATTTTACTGAAAACAGATGCCCCATCTGTTTTTGTATGATTGTAGTTCTGGTTTTGAATTGGCTTTATGGCACTGTTCATTCTACATTATACATAAGGTGATGATCCAGGTCCTCGTGTCATTCTGTGGAAGCACTTTTATTTTTCCCATGTTGAACTTCCTCCAAGCTGGTTGTTATAAACTGCTCCAGCTGTGCATGCTCTTGGGTGAGTGGTGACTTGCTGTGTAACAGGAGAATGTTTGCTTTCTTTTTGTAGCTTAGCATATCAGCACCACGTGGTACATTATTAAATATGCTGCTAGCAGAGGTTTTGTGGTTTTTCTTTTTTTTTTTTTTAATTTAGGCATATGAAAGAAATTGCCGAACTTCAGACTCAGCAGAAGAATGAGATAGAGGCGCTGTACCTTCGCCTCGGGAAACCCCTTCCTCCCAACATGGGCTTCCTGCACTCAGCCCCGCCAAGCGGCCGTCGCCGAAGAACCAGCAAAAATAAATTGAAAGGTGGAAAACTGTGAAAAAAAAGTTCAGCAGCTCAGGAGTGGAACATCAAGCACAAGTAGGTACATTAGGTTGTTCTCCCTACCCCTGTTGTTTGTGTGTGTTGTGGTTCTGCCCTGTAACTGCACGGACTGCAGGAGAGGTACTGAATCTTTATTGTTTTTATTTCTATGACTCAAGTTTGCGTTTTGTGGGCTGTTTTTGAAGTGGGCTTCCTATGAGACCATCTTATTACAGCTGCCTAGTGCTGATTCATATCTTCTCTGCATCAGTTGTGTTTGGCAGGGAAACAGCATCCCACTTTAATTTGGAATACAGCCTGCTTACATTTTCTCATCCTTCCTCCAAATACAATTTATTGACATTTGTATTCATTTCTTAGGTAATGCTATTCCATATTGATTGTGTGCTACTGTTTGTTATTCCTAAAAGGTGCCCTATAGGTAAGGTTGGGCTGTATTTGCACTGTGTCCTCCCTACAAAGATGGGAAAAGCAGTTGCAGAGGACGATGGATGCTTTGATCATCAGAAATACTCTGAGAATTTTCACTACTTTCAAGCAGCATGACAGTCTTGAGTCATTATGTGTTTGGAAAACATGAAGAGACACTTCACATGGGAAAACTTGATAAGTCCCAGTGACTAGTTCTTCTACGGGATGCAGAATAGATGTGTTTGGGTTTTTTTTTTTTTTTTTTCCTTCAGCTGAGTTCATTCCATTATTTAGAATAGTAGTAGTGTTTCCAACATTAAGCCTGTATTTCAAATCTGGTAGGTCTCGTTTTTAAAACCACTGCATCATAAAATTTCATTACACCAGGCTTAATTATAGACGGGGAGGTTTAGAACGTTTTGCTTTTAATGATTTCAATTAAGATAGGAAAGCAAAGGCATTAAGAGGCAAGGCATTCTGTGATGCACCTTGAATTTCAATATTCTTTCATATAGAAGCAGAAGCAATATTCAAGCAATTAAATGAAAACTCAGGATGGCACTGGATTAGTAAGGGTTGAGTGTGTAACTAACATAATAAGTGATAACCGTTTATCACACTAAAAAACTAAGTCACTAAGTGTGACTTTTTGCTAATGTCATTCTCTTGAATAAGGTTTTTCTTGTCTATATGTTTTTAGCAATGACTTGGCTGTCCTGTACGAGTTTTACCTCCTTTCCTTGTGATGGATACTCTGAATGTCTCTAATCCGATGTCCATCTATTTTTTCCAGTTTGTTCTTGGGTTGTCGCTAGCCTTTCCCTTCTGCCTACTCACAGCACTCATAACTCTGTCTCCGCTCCCGGATCTATCCTAGCTCATATCTGTGTGCTGCCTTCCTTTCCGAACAGATCAAGCTTGTCCCTGCATAAAGTGTCCTGCCTCTCCGCTGTGTTTCCATCGTCACCTTCAGTTAGAGGACAGAAACCCACTCGGTCAGAACACTTCGTTGGTGCATGCTCTCCTTCATACTTGTGCTTTGTGAGACTTCCCCGCTTTTGGGGCGTTGTGTACAGTTCATGTGGTCTCTGGGAGCCTCTATTCATGCCCAAGTCTCACTTGTCCTTCACTACTTGGATTCCTCCAGTTCTGGCTTTTCTAGATCCTCTCTGAGGTGTCAAGGACAGACAGTGTCTGATTTGGCTGTTGATGGACACTGTCATTCCCATTGCTGGCTAATTTTTGCTGATAACCCATATCACCAATAAATTTCAGAACTATTTTGGTGTTAAAACCTGTTCACAGGTTTTAATTTGTGACAGCTATACCAATACAGGTATATATTTAGATATATAGAGAGATACAGATATATAAATAAAACTATACAGCTAGGTACAGATTAAAAAAAAAAAAAACTTGTCTTTGCAGCTTTTGCTTCCATTCACATTATGCATCTGAGTGTGACCCTACTACTCAGCCATTCTGTACCTTCATTCTCCTAATAAGACATTTCTGCAAGGCTCACTCTTTTAAACAGTGCTCTTTCTGAGTTCCCGACTCAGCCTTCCAGTTTAAAAAAAAAAAAAAAAGCCAGAAAAACTGTTTTAAAAAAATAATAATAAGCTTCTTGAAGAATCTCGATCGGTGATAGTAAGCGTACATTATTTTCTGATGCAAGTTACCCTTAAAGTCTGTGCCTGTACTTGAGAATTTTGAACTGCTTTTGCTCTTGGTGATAAATTAATGATGATTTTTAGGCATTGATTTCCTCACATTTGCCATTGCATGTGTTTTGTTCTTGTTCTTTCAGGTAATATGTCCGAATCTAAAGACTCTCCCCACAGAGAAATAACTAAAAGCCAGTCGGGGTCTCCCGAGACGGCAGCAGTAACGTCGGCCTCGGCCACGTTTGGGAAGTCGGTGCAGACGCAGCAGCCCTGCTCCGTCAAAGCCTCTTTGTCCTCGGACATCTGCTCCGGCTTGGGCCCCGAAGGAGGCGACGGGAACGCGAGCTCTGGCCAAGGTGATTTTTTCATACCAACTGTTCAGCATGTCTTCCAGCACATGCTAAAATTAGTCTGCTTCCCTTATGCTCAAACTTTTAGGAGTGGATTTCACTTCTAGCAATATAAAAACATGAGCCTTTGGCAGACTAAATGCTGGCTTATCTTTAAAAATATCATTGCAGTATTGCCACAAGAGCAATATAAAGTGTCTTACAAAATGTTGAGAGTCAACAGTCACGAAGGCATACAGTTTTTAGGAAGGGAATAGGCTTTATTTTTGCCAGCAGTGACTCTACCTTGGCACCTTTTCTGGAGTCTGCCTTCTGGATTTGGGGGAGGGGGAGATGTAGAGGGACAGGAGCTTGTTCCCTTTGGTTCATTTTGTGTTTTTCTTAGCCCCTTGATATTGGTAGACCCTAAGTTCCTCATTCTAAAGTATCAGGGATGGAAAATTGCAGAGGACCAAGTTATGTTTGCATTATGTAAAGGGCTGAGGTCATGCAGGACCTTGACACCCCAGGTAAATGCCTGTGGGGTGGTAGGTGGGCTGCGTGCCCCAGGCCTGGCTCCTGATACTTCTGTGCAGTGCACACCTCCGCAGGCTTTGACTGATCTTGTTGCCACCTGTATTGGAAGTTATAATGATGGTTAAAATACCTTCCTCTCATTGCACATCCTGCCAAACTAATCTGCAAAATACCTATCTGTCCTCTTCTGCTGTTATTGCATCCTTTGTCTATGGTCAATTAACTTACTCCTCTTTGGCAAAGTTAAAATGGAGATGTGGATGTTTAACTAACAAAGCTGATTTGACTGATGGTATAGGACATCTGATCACAGCTACCTGTACTTTATAAGTGTCTTTGTTTTCTTCCCTTTATATTCATTTGCAGGCTGGACGGTTTTCCACCAAACGTCTGAGAGAGTGACCTATAAATCTAGTAGCAAACCTCGTACCAGATTCCTCAGTGGACCTGTGTCTTTGTCCATCTGTTTGTATTTGTTCTTTTGTATTTTATCACAGTCCATCTTTCTTTTACCACCTTTTTTCCAAGTTCATGTTTTATATCTCTAATATGTTTGGCAGGATGCCCCTTTTTTCCAAACCATCTTTTCTTTCTTTTTACATTTCTTTCTTTTAAGTAATCATCATGACCACACCTTATTTATATTAATTTTTCATATGAAAGCTTTTTTTGCACTGCTTTTGGCTCATGCTGGGCACCAAAAGCATGTGTGGAAGATCTCATCATTTATTATATAGCCTTATGGTAAATTTTACCCTGGAATTATCAAAGCTTTTGTACTTTTATGTGATTTATGTTGAAGTAATTTTTTGTTTGCAATGTGGCAAATATACATGTCTGCTGTCCCGGTTCCAGCGACAACAAAAAGAAATCCATCCTTCTGTAGACGAATGGTCTCTTTCACACATGTTTGGACTATGAAGACATGCATGTAGCAAGCTGATACAGTACTAGAAGGTCACTGGAGGGTATAACTTCCATACAAGGGCTGTATTAACACAGTATACAGTACTGTTTATTTCCACTCTATTTTCTTTAATTTTTCCTGCTCTTTGCATGTGGAAATGCTGAGTCGATAGTGCTCCAGCTAGTTCTTTCAAAATCTATTTCCCAGGTGGGCTTTTCCCCATTAATTTATGTGAGTTATCTTAAGTGAGCTCTTAAAAACACACTTGTGAGTAGTGGGCAGTTCTGGTTACTCCGAAGGCGAGTGCCATCAACTTTTTGTGTAAATGGATCTGGCTGAAGGACTACACTCAGTTTATTTTCTTATGACCTTATGTGACCTCAGAGATGAAGTCAATTAGCAGTTCATCAAAGCATAGGGAAGTAAAAAGTGATACCAGATTTTTATATGATACTTTGAAATGGATTGCTAGAATCCAGTACGTTTTATTTAAAACAACTGTGCACCTGCTATTTTTACCTTATTTCTACGATTTTTAAAGTAATTGGCGATTCACCCAAATTATATAAAGCTATATAATTTAAAAATGCAGACACTGTTTTTTTCCAATCCTATATGCTGCTTTTTAGGCAAACAGATTTTGCTTGTACAATAAAGATATGTTGTACTGAACAGGTACTATAGGCCACTTACAACATTAGTGAGGATAATGTGCTCGAGGAAACGTTTGGTTAATTAAACGTTCATTTGCATTAATATCAGATAACCCATTGGAGTTGTACATTGCTCATCGTTATCCAAGTGGTACAGATCAAAGGCACAAGACCACTCAAATATAGTCCTTATATTTTATAAATAAGCAGTATTTTTAAAAAGATAATTTTATCTGAGATCTAGATTCCAGGCAACCAAATTCACAAAGATGGATTTTTACTGCTCTTAACTGCATATTAAACTTACCATGGAAATTTTTAACAGCCACTGAAGTCTTGACACAATTTTGTAGTAAGGGATTTTTCGAGGAACCAGAGTGGAATTCTCCAGAAGCAAATTTTTCCATTTGTTTTTTTAATGGCCACAGTAGCTGCTTCTCTTGCACATATAATTCCCAGAAGTGATTTCATTCATCTTTCACAAGCTTACTATTCAGTAGGATGTAAAAAGGCAGGGAGATGGGAGTTTAAAAAAAAAAAGAGAGAGAAAAAGAAAAAAAACATGTTTGGGTGCATGGATATTGTGAATGAAACCAAGCAATTATGTCAATACTTCAAACTATGAATTTTCCTAATGCCTAAATAACTTGGCACGACTAATTGGTGCCTGTTCTCAGGCCATCAGCTCTCCCCTCTGTTGCTTTGGGCAAGGAGTTTGGAGATGAGATTTGCCAGTCCCCGAGTCCTCGGAGCCTCCCTGCATCGCTGAGGCCGTTCCTGTATGTACGGGTGGTTTCAGTGGACATTGCAGGTTTTCCTAATCCGCTTTCCGGGAGCTCGCAGAGGCGGCTGGTGCTGCAGGGAGCAGTGACGGTGACGAGGACGGGCTCGTCGGCGCTGGGGACACAGGCTGCTCACGCGCAGCACTAAGACCCTTTAAAGACAGATTTTCTGTGTTTTTCCTACTTCACAAGACCCATCAAACGTAAACATTTTCACAGTATTCTCCTGGAACTGCTCTTTTGGCAATCCCCAGGTCCAGCATTGATTTTTCTTTTGCATTTTTCATGGAGTAAAAGGTTTGATGGGATCCAGCCCCACTTTAGCCTGAGCTTTCACTCATTGAACTGAAAGGGCACCTTAGGCAACATTTTGGACTAGTTTTAAGTGAAATTTTCAGAAGCTCCATTTGGCTTAGACTTGTAGTATGATGTCAACCCATTTTTGTCAGTTCAAGGGTAATTAGTTAGTGTATGTGAATATATGATTATGGAAATGGTCTAACAATTTATTGCAATTTCAGTTTTCTTGTAGCTTTCCAGCTTTTTGGCAGCTATAAGAGTGCAAATATGGGGCAGTGGATTTTTGTCTATAAAATAATAGCTACATGATTTCTCAGACATGAAATATGGAATCAGAGGTAAAACACTTATTAACTATTAGTCTTAGATTTCAAATCTTAATTACTTATGATCCTTCTCTTTAGTCTTTCAGCTATTAAAGACCTTTATTTTTAGAAGTAATACAGTTAATGTGGTGATTTGGTTTGCCTTTGTGATAAAGTGCATTCTAAAACTGAAATTGAATTTAGACAAAGAACTTTAGCAGATGGTTGTCAGCCTCCACTTCAGGCAGCATGGCCACCTAGGCGGTGTTTCCCATTTCCCGAGCTAAATGCTGGAGTGATACCTTCCTGGCCAATGGCCCTTCCACATTTTTAATAAGGGAGGCTCCCTTCGTGTGGTGGCTCTAGGAGGTGGCCTGGGTTCTTGGGCTCCCTAGGCTGGACTGGGCCTCCGAGGTGCACATAAGCTTAAGACTTGATCTTCAGGAAGAGGTTGGCGTCGAAACTTTCCTCCGTGCCTTTGGGGATACGGCAGTCAGCTGCTGCCTTTGATTTTTTGCAGAGAGTTGCTTTTCATTTGCATAGATATGGTGCCAAAACTACTTATTTCTGCTATGTAGACTGCTGCAGGTCAGTGAAAAAAATAGCATCCTAGTATTGCTCCTCTGATGTAGCTCTAACAGGAGATACCACTTTCCTTTAAAAAAAATAGGTGAATTAAGATGCATCTGAGAAGAGAAAAAAAAAAAAAAGCAAGCAAACTATGTAAAAAGCACAGCACAGACTGTTCACTTGTGAATGTGACTTGTAGTTGTCACAAGGAATACTTTGAGTTGACTAAACTTTGGGGCTTGCTTGCATTAAGACAGAACCAGAGTCACATCCTTTTGATTTTGACAGAATAGTCAAATTCATGTAACCATTTACGAAATGATAAGAAAAATCTTTCAAAGCGATCTTTCTGTTCCTCCTCACACAACCCATATCAAAACACAAACACTTTTTTCTCCCTTTTCTCCCCTCTTTCTTCTTTTTTTCTTTTTCAGTTGGTCTCTGAGTGATGTCTCCTTTCTGCTTTCAAGACTCATTCAGAGCTTCTGTCAATGTGGAACAAAATCCGAGTTTAAAGCTGCAGTTCTGGCACAGTAGCATAGTATATTAACACCACTTTACCATACAGGAAAAGCACATACATTTTCTATTTTGTTTTTTTGGTTTTTTTTTGCCCAGCCCTCTGATTTCATTCATGTGTTCAAGCGCTTCTTCACAATAAACTTGCCATGCCCCATGCCAGATACTCATCTCCTGTCATCCATAATGATACTCTTCTTCCCAAGTCCAAAATACCTTTCAGGAAATTTGGCGCTGAAATAGCAAACAGTGCTCATGTCTGGCAAGATCTGACAGTCAAATAGGGCTCTCTGAACACTCCTGGCACTGTAGAAACTGTCTATCCAACTGAATACGTAAATAAGTGATGAAAGATGTAACACGATAATGAAAAAACATCACATAGTTTGGTTAAATTATAACTCAGCTATTCTGTTGGATTAACTTTCTGTACTTGGAAAAGTCATAAGAGAAACTCATTCACAGGTTAATTTAAGTTCAGAATCTCACATTTAGACACAAATCCTACTAATAAAACATTTGGAAAAAAAAATTGGCCTCAGACCTGCAGAACAATGTATCTTTTTGGACTTGTAAAACAGAACTTTTGGGGTTGTTTTACAGTTTGTCTTTGCAGCCAGACTAGCTGTACTTGTTCCTGAAAGCATTTTTGGCCTCCTATCACAAACTGAATTGACATCATTTCCTGTGTAAATAGAGTAGGAATCAAAATCTCCTATTAGGAAGCCAAGGCAATTTGGAAAACAAACAAAACAAAACAAAAAAAACCCACCATCAAGCCATGGGACCTTGCTTTTGGCATGCTATTTACTTTTAAAGCTTCTGAATGGCTGCACATTAGTAAAGGTTTGAGCTATCCAGTTATTTAGACTTCCTTTTCTCACCTGAACTGCTGACTTTGTCTGTCCTTTCTTGCATAATAACTACTTTTTGACTGCTTAAAAGTACAGAAGCTTGTCCATCAGAGTTGCCATGTTTAGTCTTACCTAACGCTGTGTGTCTTGTATTGTTTTACCTTATAGGGTCTACCTTGAAACGACTGTGTCTAGGCAAAGATCACAGTAGTAGTAACTATCCCTTTTTTGTTTCTCAGTATTTCCTTCATGGCATGGGATGTTTGGGGGGATTGTTTTTCAATTTTTTCCTGAAAGGTAGTTTACTAGGTAGCGGTGGTGCACTTGCACAGTTCGGAAATGAGACTCTAGAAATGACGGTTTCCTCCTGATAATGCATGTGCTGTGATGTTTTGGGGACCACGCATGCTGCAGGGCGGTTGTGATAGTCTTTGTGTGTGAGACTGTGCACGCATGCAACAAGACAACTGGATTAAGTGTTATGTCTAGTGTTAAATACACAGTTTTACATGACTGTAAATGTCATGTTTTGTTTCAGCTTTGTTGCGGGAGGAATTCTTAGCACAGACCTGTTCCTCTTGTGATGCATGAAATATTAAACAGTAATTGAAGAGCTTTTTTGTCAAAATACTTTTCTTCTCACTGGACCATTTCCCCCCACCAAAAAGGAAGAGGAAAGGAACAGGATTCACTAGCAGGCACATTGCATTGAAGTGGAATGCATGATCACTTAGAGGTTAATCATATGCCGTGTATAACTGTAGGACTAATTAGTTTACTGAGTTTCTTGGCTGGGAACTGATTAACAGAAGACAGACTTGAATGCTGGTGGTGTTTGCTTATGTAAATAATTTGACTACAGTTCTCTGAACTTTTTGCTTGGAGAGATGGTCTTTTTAAAAATTATTTAGATATATTGAATATATCTAAATTGTGAAATAAGCAAATTGCTTTGTATTTTCTGCTGAGGTCAAATTTACACATTTCCTGGTGCTGTGTATTGCTAATTTTGCTGTATCAGACTTGTAGGTACCAATGCGTAAATAGCATAGATCGCATAGTTGTTCTAAAAATGTGTGAATATATAAAATTAAATATCTGTCAATACTCTTCCTGCATCAAAAATTCTGTATTTTTGTGTCAGAAACTAGTGTAGCCTCTCATGCCCTGCTCTCTCCTCTTTGTTCTGTACATTAATGGGTAATAATGTGATTCATTTTAGTAAAGAGAAGACGACAGAGCAGATGCTCTTAGTGCAAAGAGCAAGAGCATAAGTCTCTGTAGCCTTCCAGGCACAAGAGGCCACCCACACTGTGCTGTAAGTGATGCTCCAGCCTTTGCAGGAGGGCAGGAAACCTGTGCGCGTGAGATAAATGGTGTAACATTCATTTTTAAAATGCACGTAGCTTGAGCAAGCAAAGCTCTAGGCAAATACTGCACGTTGCCCCTCACTTCTGAGGGGAGGCTCCACCAGCACCGTGGTGGGGACACGGCCTCTCCTCCCCTCCCAGCTGCTGGGTTCACCTCGAGAGAGGCTGCGGGCACAGCAGCTAGTGGCTCGGGTGATAGACCCCAACAGAAAATACGAATGCATTGGGCCTGGACCATTTCTCTAAGCAAAGGGGTTCTGTAGAAAGGGGCAGTAAAAGATAAGTCACCGTTGGGATTGCAGCCCCTGAAAAGCTGTTGGAGCAGCAGGGTGGCGGCAGGGAGCTGCCGTGCTCAGCTCTGTGTGTGTGTGGTTTTTCAGGATCCTCTACGAACAGCCTGGTGCCGTGCCCGGAGCCCCTGCCGCAATCCTCGCTGCATGTCCAGGCCAACAACAGTAACAACAAGAAAGGCACCTTCACCGACGACTTCCACAAGCTGGTGGATCAGTGGACAAGCAAAACTGTCGGCGCTGCACAGGCGAAACCCTCTTTAAATCAGCTGAAGCAGAACCAAAAAAGGCAAGACATGGAGCCAAAGGCTAGTCCCATGCAAACCCAGAATGAGACATGTGGAGTAAGTGGCGCTCCTTGAAGAATGTACCTTTTGCGGTGTGTCTGAAAGCCATTGCAGAGCTCACATGTGGAGGAGGACATACATTAAAGTTGCTTCAGACAGATGCTCCATATAAGTGTCCATCTCTTTTCATTAAGTACTAAAACAGATTTAAAAAAAAAGAGTCTTTTGGAATTAATCTTGATATATATTTTAGCTAAAATATATATGTAACATATATATTTTTTTAAATTACAAAGTGCTCATTAACAGTAATATACAGCAATATACATACTAGTTATCATACCTTGTTTGAATTTTTAAGTTTTTACCACTGCTAAAGTTTACCTTGTTTTGATATTTAATTGTCCTCAGGCAGAGTGGTGGCAGGGCTTATGGCTTGGTGGCACCAAGCTGTTCTTCTAGCAGAAGCTTAAACGGGGACAACTGGGAGTTTTTACCCTTGCTTGTCTTATGGGGCAGGGCAATATTAATCCCATCCACATTTAAGACTTTCTGCCCCACAAAAACACCCATTTCAGAAATGTGGTGAGAGCAAATTGAAACAAAGTAGAAGGTAGAAATGCCTCCATTCAACCTCCTTTTATTTTCAATGGCAGAAAAAAATGGGTTGTGACATGCATTGGTGCCTGCGTTGGAGCTCGTCTTGGTGGCCGCGTGGCAGTGTGGAGGCAGGCGCAGGAACGAGTCGGGATGTGTCCGGGATTTCGGTTTGCGCTGCCCTGCTGCCCAGCTGCTTCCCAGGCCTCTTCCTGCTCCATGCGGATGGAGTCACGTCCTTGACTAATCATTTCTGCTGGAGTCATTTTTGCAAAGAATGGAAGTTGGGCCAAAGTAGAAGAAAATAAGTGAGCTTTAAAAGTAAGGAACTAATGAAGATAAAATTAAGAAGAATTTGGAGTAAAAAGCCCTTCTGTGTGGTGATGGTTTCAGTAGTGTGTCTTCTGCAGAAACAGGGACCTCTACTTAATACCCTGTTAGTTCTCACTAACAGAAGGTGCTAGTAAATGCAGATGGGGAAGATTTCTAGGAGTGCTGGAGAAAGTGGTGGGGAGGGCACAGGTTTTGTTTCCTTTAGGTCACTTCTTGCCCTTTCCTTGTGTGTTCTTTGCAGCTGGATTTCTCTCTGAGGCTGCTGCAGTGGTTGGTGGGCATGTCCTGCCTACCTACCACTCTGGAGAAGAACATGGTTGTTCTGCTTGTCTATATGAGCTCGTGGCATCGATTTAGGAATAACTTTTACCTTCCGTTGTTGTGGTTTCTCTGCTGTGTGCCATTCTGGGGGCTGTGGAGAAGGCAGAATGTCACTGTGAGAGAAACAGGAACATCCTTGTGTTAAGACGCTGATTATGAGGCTTTATTTTCTTTCTAAAACACGGCTGTTGTTCCAGGGACTTAGCAGGGCTGCGTGAGACACCGTGGCGAAGGTTTGCAGAGCTTCAGCGGGCTGCGGCGCCAGCCCTGCGGCCGATGCCCCTGCGTGGGGCTCGCTCGGACAGAGACTCCGGGTGCCAGCGCTGGGCCGGTTGCATTGATGAGTTTGTACAAAAGGTCCTCGTGGCAGCTTGTTGTCCCCAGAATGGAGCAAGGGTGGGTGGTGAATCCTCCTTATAAAGCTCTGCATGTTCTTGCCCAGTCCGTTTTTAAGTCTTCTTTTTGGTTAAGTATAAAAATACCCTTGCAAGAGAAGAATAAGGAGCAGTAAGCAGATTCCTTGCCTATCCAAGAAAGCAGTAATATGTTTCATATTGGAAATAAATGCCAGACAAGTTTCTTTTCTTTTTTAACAGTGCAGGTGACTAAATATTGGGACAAAAAAGAAGGAACTTGGTAGGACAGGCCGTGTCCTGTCTTCGCTCTACCTTTACTATAGGAGATGGTAGCGTTGTCCAGTGTGGTAATTCAAAATAAGGGGCAGGAGGCAGTGCTTGTCACAGTCTGTTTGCAGTTGGTGCAGCTTGACCGAAGGAGCAGGGAAGGGAGCAGAGCACGGGGCTGTTCACACCCTCGCTGCCCTTGGCCTCCGCTGCGCTGCGTGAGCAAAGCCCGTCTGGCAGATCGGAGCTCGGGGGCATCTGGCGCCGCTTTCTCGGCCGGATAGCGGAATAGCCTCTCCCTGATCCGGAGGGAGCGCGTGCACAGATCTGCTGGAGCACCCAGTATCTCCTGCCCCTGGAAAAAATCCCTGTAAACGTCTGCGTTGCTGCTGCTGGTGACAGGAGTCATCTTCACAGCGCGTTCGGCAAATTCAGTGAGTTTGGATCCGCGGCTGTTTCATCAGCCTGCGTACGACGGGCAGCTGGTTGTGCAGAGGTTTAGACAAGGAGCAGAACAAGCAGAAATAAATGAATGTTGAGGTATTACAAACGAGGCAATGCCATCCATAGCTGGCAAAGCCAGGTAGTCAGTCCCATTGCTCACTGGTTGTGTTGCATCACCCTGAGTTAGGAAAGAAATTAGGAAAGAGAACAGCAGTTCTGCTCTACCCTCCTGCCGGATAATTTGAGATATACATGGATATATAATGAAAAATTAAATGTCTGTGTGTTTATGTATGTATATGTCCCCTATGAGTGAAGACTCTTGCTACGAAGCATTTTAGCTTTCACTCTGTGCATCCTGCTCTGAATTTTGTGCTCAATGTGACCTGGCAACTTTGTGAACCTGTGCCCCGTTTGGGGAGCGCAATGGTGCCCGTTGATCCCAACACGTTGTTTGGTGTCTGCATGCAGGAGGGAACAGGTTGTTGCAGCCTCTGGCAGTGGTTGTTCATCAGAGCTGGTCTAAAGATCATGGTTTAAAGGTGGTTGGGGGAAGCACCTTGTGCCACGGGAGGAATGCGAGGGCCAGGAGCCACGTTGCCTCCTGCCACGCTTGTGTCTTGGTTTGCTCGAGCAGCAGCGAGGGCAGGAGACACAGCTTTGAAGGCTGCCCTGGGTTTGCCAAAGCATCTGCGCAGCGTCTGCTTCAGGCCGCGATGGTTCTGTCCGCGCACAGCCACGCGTAGAGCCCTCACCAGAGCTCCGGCCTCGCTGAGGGACTTCACGAGAACGAAGAGGTAGGAAAACACAGATCGTGTAGGTTTCTCAGCATTTAAAAATAATTGACAACTAAGGGTTGTTTTTCCCCCAAATTAGTACTTTTATACTTGCTAAAATGTCACTTTGTGATTTTAAATGCTTTTATAAATCTATTGTTTGTATAGGGAGTGATGCATTTGATTGTACATTTGCAGGGTGTCCACGTTAACCACTTATAGTTGCCTAGGCTGGTGAAAATATTTTGAGGATGTCTGAATACGGACGTAATAACAGCTTAAAGAAATCTTATTTTTAAGTCCCCAGTTCTTCTGCTTTTTTGTTTGTTTGTTTATTTGTTTTGGTTTTGACTTCTGCTGTTAATTTTTTGTGTACTAATGGTTTTAAATTCATTGTATCAGAGTAGATATTTTTCATAGTTTGATGGTCATCATTAGCCTCAACTTTCAGATTAGAATTGGAGACAGTAAAGCAAAGAAGGATTTCTGCATTTTCCTAGAATTTTCTTGGGAGCAAAGGATCATACTCCAAAGGAATAAAAGTACTGCCATTTTTATTTAGGTTGAGAACAGGGACTATAATCAGAAACTGTGCTGTCTGCACACACATTCATGCTTCCACTTAAATTTCACATCCTACCAATTTAATTGATGTGAGATTCCCAGCCTGAAAATGAGAGAGACCAGGCAGCACATTGTGGTATCGCATATTATTAAGCTTGATTCTAGAAGCCTGTCTCTCTGAGTTTGGAAAGGAGAGTCCTTTCTCTGACCAAAACGTGAATTATTGAATTAATGCGGGGAGAATCTCTGAAAAAAAGAGCTGGAATTGGTTTAGCAGGAAATCCTTCAGCAGGGCTGCCCTAGCAGTGCTGGCCCGATGGCGCTGAGCGGTGAGGCCGCTGCTGTTCAGCTTTGCAGAGAAGGCCCGCGCGGCGAGGCTGCACCGCGTCGCACAAGCGGCTTCCTGCAGAAATATGCCCTGTAATTTTTAAAGTTTCCTCATTTTAAATCTTAGCTGTTTTACTGCAGATTGGGTAGTAGATACAGTTAGTGATTTGGTTTAAGCCTACGTTTGGTTTCATTTATCTTTTAAGCACCAGATCCAGCACTAATGAGGGAAACTTGCCTATTTTGGGCATTAAAAGTGTTTTGTGGCTTTTCTTCTTTAAGGTATTAAGTTCTGAGGCGCTCAGGATGTCTCCTGGCTGATTAAACGCTGACATTGTGCTCAGACCCCCTCGCTCACGCCTGCGTCTGCCTGTGCTGTTAATTCCCAACGCTTATTTTAGCCTTTACAACAGCCCCAGCTCCGAGGATGCCTCCATGTTTCCCACGCTTCCTCGGGCCCACGTTGTGCTGGAGCTCGTGGGTAGCTCGGGGAGCAGGAGCAGAGCCCTGGCCGCTGGAGGGAGCGCGCCCGGCACGGCACCTGCTTGCACCGCGCGTTTGCTCGGCAGCAACCCGTCCTGCAACCGCCCTCCCCGCTCAGCACCACAACGCGCCGCTGCGTTCGCCGGCCGGGAACTTCGCGGCTTAATCGCCATGCCTTTTTGTTCTTCTTTCCGTAGGTTAATTGGGTGAGAGCAGGAGCGGGGAGTCACTGCGTGGTTCCAGGGCCTTGCCCCGCGTCGGCCGCCCTCGCTGCGGGAGCGTCGCCTCACGCGCGGGTGCCGGGCACGGCAGCGCCCT